TGAGGTTTACTCACAGAAACCCAGGTTCCTGGGGTCTGGATCAGTCCCATGCTGGTATTCCAGCTATCAGACTGGGGAGCAAGAGTTCCCGGGTGTTCAGGTCAGCTGTTTCTGTGCATTTTACCAGCCTGGTCTGGACCCCTGTGATCTTCACTTGTCCTTCTCTGCATCTGGGTTCCAGTTCAGTTCAGTGATTAGTTGTGGGTGTCGACATCTACTTCCACCAGCTGCTGGATGAAGGCTATAGGATGGCATATAAGTCAGTCATCAATCTCATAATCAGGGGAGGGCATTTAAGGTAGCCTCTCCTCCATTGCTTAGATTGTTCCCTCCATTTTCTTGCTTTGTCTTTTGTTTCTAAATCTTTCTCAACACTAGATAAACAATGGTTTTAGTTTTTCTGGTGTTAAATGTATGATATCTCCCTTCTGTGAAGCCTTTGTCTAGCTTTGATTTCTACCAAATGTCAGTTGTGTACTGGGATCAGTTTGAGATCTCTTGCATCACAGCCTTTAGAGTTTCTTATTACTGCCAACACTTACTCATGAGAAACAGCATTGTGAATGTAGTCACAAAAGGATGGGAGATTTCAATTGGCCTACCAAATCTATGCTAATGAACTAGTGGTAAAGCTAATTAATTGACTGCTTAGCATTTTACTGAATATTTAATAAATTATTAGTTGTTAATAATGGCCATGAAACCAAGCATCTCCCTTTGCTATATGAGATAAAATTATTACTTCTAAAGCACCTGTTGGATCATTTTGCAGTGATAGAAATGTTCTAGAATGTTCTATAATCTCCAGTGTCTGGCACATGTTATGTTAATTGCTTATGTTAATTGCTACTGGGTACTTAATATACAACTAGTGCAACAAAAAATTGAGTTTTCCATTTAAATTAATTTTGGTTAACATGGATCATCACAAGCCTACTGGTGGCCAGTGGCTATTGTATAGGACAGCACATGTAGATGGAGGAGTTAGGGACATGCATTTCCTTTCCATGTTTTACCTGATGGGGATACTCCTGATACTTAGTTTTACCATTAAATTCAGGTACTGAAGAAAAGACACACTAAGAATACTGTGCTCAGGAGAGCCAAGAGAAGATGGGCACCCATTCCTTGTTCAATGCAAGAGAATTCCTTGGGCCCCTTCCCATTATTTCTTCAACAGGTAGGTATTCTTTCCTTCTGATTGTGGTCCTGCTAGGAGGAGAATCTGTTTGACTCAGATTTAACCATGGTTAAGCATTAAAAAACAAGCAGATATGACTAAAGTTGCTCATGAAATACAATACAAATGAATAAAGTAAGAAAATGACTGATTTACTAATAGTGTAAGACAACCTATAGCCTTCGTGTGCCTTCAGTCATTTATTTGTTTCTTTAGGTGATGTTTACTGGGTATCTGTATGCATTACATGGTATTATAGATATTGATATAAGCATTGGAGATGGAAATAAATTGAGTCCTGTCTTCTTTTCTTCTTGGAACGGGTAGAAGTGAGATGAAGTCTCAATATGTAGCCCAGGTTGGCCTCAAACTTATTATCCTCCTGTCTCAGTCCCACATATGCTGGGGCTACAGACTTAGCTTGGCCACCTTGCATGGTCAAAATGGCTTATCCCTGTGTTTAAAAGTGAGACTGCATGCTTCACTTTCTAGAGCCCAAATCTTCACAGATCCTGATTATTTTGTTTATGCAATCTATTATGCCATAATTATTCATACTATTATTTATATTAGTACATTTCATTATTATATTATAGTTTATTGTGTATCCCATTGACTTGCTCTCATGTAGCCATAACTAACTTCAATTTAGATGGAACTTCTTCCCAGAAACTTTGGGCTCAGCTATAAAGAAAATGGCATAAAAGGGTCTGCAAAATAGCTCAGTGGTAAAGGTGCTTGCCACCAAGCCTGACACCTGAGTCCAATCCCTGGGACCCATATAGTGAAAGGAGAGACTTCATCACTGCATGTTCTTCTCTGACTTCCATATGTGTACTGTGAACTTACTCTTACCAACTATAAGTTATGTTGTTCTTTTCTACTGAAATATTGTTGTTAAGATATATAAAATACTTATAGATGTATATATTACAAGGTAGTATTTAAATGTAATTCTAAGTGCTTACTTCTGTGTATTTTTCTTTCAGGTTCAGTCTGATGCAGCTCAAAACTATACTATCATATACTCAATAAAGGGGCGGGGAGCCGACCAAGAACCCCGGGATTTGTTTACCATAGACAAACACACTGGGAATCTGTATTGCCATAAGGCCGGATGTTTTTGATGTGGGTGTTTTATTGATAACTATGGCTCTATATTAATGAACTATTTGTCTTCCGAGGCTTTGCCTGCTCTTTTCTTTTTAGGTTCTCTCCTTAGAGGGTGTTGTAAAGTCAAAGGACAATGGCATGCACTGTATGTTGGAATGCTTGCTCAACCCTTTATTTCAGCTTGCATTAGGCAATTGTGAAATGAAGCAAAGAGGTTTAATTGTATTTGAACATAAAACCCAGTACAGTTGTAGGAGGTTTAGCTTGTCAGACATCATCTCTGGTTACTAGAACATTTTCAGTTCTCCACAGAGATTCACAGTTGATCTTCCTCCACTGCTCTACCTTTCTTTTTTGTCTTTCTTCTACATATGTTACTCTCTGATCATGTCTGATAACTAGATAAAGTAAAAAAGTAGGAAGCAAGGTCTAAATAAAGGCTATCAGGTCAGATATCTGATATGGATAAGTGTGTATTCAGTGGGGAACTGACTTAGGCAGTTTCCATCATAGAGCAAACTGTACTCTGCTGTCATGAACCAATTTCAGCAAGAAGGATTCCCCTTTGGGGAGAAGGGTTACATCTGTTTCTGGAAGATGAGAGAGGTGCTGAGAAACTAACCTGACTGATATACTCATATGGCATTCTTTGCCTTGGGCTATAAAAACATTCAACTTGATGTAATTATATACTGAGCAGTACTACGTTCTGATGTTACATTTCCTTTGATTAATGATCAACGAGGGAATTAGTAAATGTGTTTTATAATAAGAACTGTTTAAATCGACAGTCTAAGAGTCCAGAAACAACAAAATTGGGAGATTTGCTTCATCGATCATGTAGAAGAATTTTTCAAATGGCCATGAGTTGCCTGTTCTCCCCATGAAGATTAATGACGACAGAGAGATTAAAGCTGTAAACTGAGTTACAAGTACACCCAATGCCTCACAATAATGCATATGGAATGTCATCCAAATTCTCTCCATTCTGACCTACTTTGTATCTGAAAGGGAGCTGTTTCCTCCCTACAGTGAAGGCCCATTGCTTTAATTATCTCAGTGTGGAGCATTGATGAGGTAGCTTATTCCTGAAAGGACTTGCAGGGAAGGGTACAGGGCATCTCATCTCCCCTGTGCTGTGATGTTGACTGCCTGCTGATGTTGTCCTCCTTTCTCCCACAGTTGACGGCCTATGCATACACTGTAGATGGCTATTCGGCTGATTCACCTCTCCCACTGCCCATCAAAATAGAGGATGAAAATGACAATTATCCTCTTTTTACAGAAACAATTTATAATTTTGAAGTTCCAGAAAGCAGTAGAATTGGTAAGCCTGTTTCTATGTCAAATATGTTTTTGTGTATATTTTTAAGACAGTGGAATTTTTATTTTTTGTTTCTGTTTGCACTGTTTGTGTGCATGCATCCGTGTGTGTGTGTGTGTGTGTGTGTGTGTGTGTGTGTGTGTGTGTACGCGCGCGCGCGCGCGCGCACATACAGGCATGTGAAGACTTGAGTAGAACCTCCCCTGTCATCTTCAAGTTACAATTTACCTTGTTTTTTGAGACAGTGTTTTTCTCAGTGGCCTGGAGTTTATCAAGTAGGCTAGGCTGGCTGGCCATTGGGCTCTGGAGATTCATCTGTCTCTGACTATCATGCTGTGGAATTCTGAGTCCACCATCATCACCAGCTTCTTTTTAAATATGGATTCTGGGGATCAAACTCAGGTCCTAGTGCTTGCAAGACATTACTTTGTCAATGGACGTCTCTCCCCATTAGAGATTTTTGTATTCATGGCCAGTCGATCATGAGCTAACACAGATCTGGCATCTACTTATCAGAAAACATTAGTTATATCCCATCAAGTCTAATCAGCATGCCTCTCACCAGATACTACAAGGACTTCCAACATGGTCAGTGAGACACTAATTATCAATGAGGGCATGCTGCCACTAGTCAGGATTTGTACTGTTTTACTTTATGTATTCATGCATTTTACTTTATCTTCTTACTGTGTGCTTTTATCATATCCCCCCTTTCAAGAGGACCCACAGGGTAGAATGAACAGTAAAAACATAGTATAGATATTTCAGTGGGGTTGTGGGAAAGTATTAAATGATAGAGACAAGGGACACAGTATTTAAATTCTTTTTAAATGTCTGTTTTCTTGAACTACTTTATGACATATTATTTAGAATAAACACTAGAATAATTTGAGGACCCCTAGATCACACAAGTTCCATTCTAAGAATACCCCTTCAATGTGGAAAAAAATTGTTTTATTTCTGTGGCATTTTCATATTTTGTTCCTGAGGCTTGCATTATGAAGAGTATATACCACCATACCAGGAGAATGGGGACTCAGACAAAAAAGATGGCTAATATTTTTTCTGCTAAGATTTCTGGTCATTGTTTATGTCCTTATTTTATTGTATCTGCATTTCCCTTTCTTGTTTTACTGTGACATTTTAATTATCTAATGTTAACATCCTCTTTGCACACATGTGAAATTAAATTAAGATGGAGATTTTGGAGTTTAGGAAACACACTATTTTGTACATGTTCTATTTTAAAGTCACTGAGAGGAGTCTAGGCAGCCTTTGAGTTCTCTCTTCTATAAATGCACAATTTACTTCATGTCACAGGAAAACTATCTATCTATCTATCTATCTATCTATCTATCTATCTATCTATCTATCTATCTAAATGTGTGTGTGTGTGTGTGTGTGTGTGTTTGTGTGTGTGTGTATGTGTTTCTCAGTTTCATGAACTTATGATCACATTGTATTTTTCTGGTTTCTTT